AGTCACTTGAACCCGGGAGGCGGAGGTTGCAGTGAGCTGAGATCGTACTACTGCATTCTAGCCTGGGCGACAGAGCAAGACTATGTCTCAAAAAAAAAAAAAAGGCTTTCAGCTTTTCCACTAACATGAGGAACAAAACAAGGGTGCTTACTCTTGCCACTTCTATTCAACATAATACTGGAATGGTTAGCCAGAGCAATTAAGCAAGAAAAAGAAAAAGGCATCCAAATCAGACTGGAAGAAGTCAAACTGTCTCTGTCTGCAGATGACATAATCTTATATAGAGAAAACCCTAAAGATGCCACCAAAAACAGTTAAAACTAATAAACCATCCAGAAGTTGCAGGATACAAAACCAACTTACAAAAGTCAGTACTAACAATGAACTATGTGAAAGAGAACTCAAGAAAGTAATCCCATGTACAATAGCACCAAAACAAACACTTAAGAATAAATTTAACCAAGGAGGTAAAAGAGAAATACAATGAAAAACAAATGACACTGAAAATGACAGAAATATTTTAAAAATCTTGTATTCTTGAATTAACAGAATATTGTTAAAATGTACATACTACCCATAACAATCTATAGATTCAATATAATCCCTATCAAAATTCCAATGACTTTTTTTTTCACAGAAATAGAAAAACCAATCATAAAATTTGTATGGAACTTAAGGCCCAGAATAGCCTAAGCAATCTTGAGGAAAAAAAAACAAAAAACAAAAAAACGAGGCATCATACTTCCTGATTGCAAGCTATATTACAAAGCTACAGTAATCAAAACAATATGATACTAGCATAAAAACAAAGACATATACCAACAGAACAGAGAGCCCAGAAATAAATCCACATATACAGTCAACTAATCTTTGACAAGGGCACAAAGAACACACAATGTTGAAATGATAGTCTCTTTAACAAACGGTATTGGGAAAGCTGGATATCCATATGTAAAACAATAAAACCAGACCTCTATCTTATACCACCTACAAAAATTAACCAGAAATGGATTAAAGACTAAACATAAATCCAGAAACTATAAAACTCCTTAAAGAAAATGTAGGCTAAAAAGCTCCTTGGCACTGGTCTTGGCAATGATGTTGTGGATATGACACCAAAAGCACAGGCAACCAAAACAAAAATAAACTGGGACTACATCAAGCTAAAAAGCTTCTGCTCAGCAAAGGAAACAATCAACAAAATAAAAGGGTAACCTACAGAATGGGAGAAAATATTTGCAAATTATACGTTTGATAAGGAGTTAATATCTAAAATATATAAGGAACTTACACAACTCAAAGGCAAAAAAACCAAATAATTCAGCTTGAAAAAATGGGCAAAGGACCTGAATAGAAATTTTCTCAAAGATATACAAATGGCCAACAGGTACATGAAAAGGTGTTCAACATCACTAATCATCAGGGAAATACAAACTAAAACCAAAATGAAACATCACCTCCCACCTGTAATGATGCTTTATCATCAAACAGACAAGAAATAACAAATGTTGGCAAACACGTGAAGAAAAGGGAACCCTTGACCATTGCTGGCAACTTAGTAGTCACTATGGAAAACAGCATAGAGGCTGCTCAAAAAACTAAAAATAGAACTAGCATATGATCTAGCAATCCCACTCCTGTGTACATATCTTAAGGAAATGAAATCAGTATCTCAAAGAGATATCTCTACTCCCATGTTCAAGCAGCTATATGGAAACAACTTAAGTGTCACTGAGGGATGAATGGGGGATGAGCCTGGCCAGGCGTGGTGACTCACGCCTGTAATCCCATCCACATCCTCACTTGAGGTCAGGAGTTTGAGACCAGCCTGGCCAACATGGTGAAACCCCATCTCTACAATAATAGAGTAATTAGCCAGGCATGATGGCAGGTGCCTATAATGTCAGCTACTCAAGAGGCTGAGACAGGAGAATCGCTTGAGGCCAGGAGGTAGAGACTGCAGTGAGCCAAAATGGCGCCACTGCACTTCAGCCTGGGCGACAGAGAGAGCCTCCGTCAAAAAAAAACAAATAAATAAAATCCTGCCATCTGCAATATGAATGAACCCAGAAGGCATTATGCCAAGTGAAACAAGCCAGAGAAAGACAAATACAACTGGCCCTTGAACAACACAGGTTTGAACTGCACATGTCCACTTACATGCAGATTTTTCTCAACCAAATGCAGATCATACCTGCAGATGTGAAACCCACATATTTGGAGGGCTGACTTTTGGATGCACAGGTTCTGCAGAGTCAACTTCAGGACTTCAGTATGTGTGAATTTTGGTATACATCCTAGAACCAATCCCCCAAGCATACCAAGGGACAACTATACTGTATGGTATCCAAAATCATAGAAACAGAGAGTAGAATGCTGGTGGCCAGCGATAAGGGGGTGGGTGAAATGGCAAGATGCTGGTCAAAGGACACAAACTTTCCGAGGATCTAATGTACAGCACATGGTGACTACAGCTAATAATACTGGACCTTATAATATTCAGTATTATAAATAATACTGAAATTTGCGAAGAGAGCATCTTTTAAAAGTTCTCACCAAAAAAAAAAAAAAAAAAAAAGAAAGAAAGTTACTACGTAAGGTGATGGATTTATGGAGATTAAAGATTATTCCCAATTGAAATGTGGGCCAGGCTCAGTGGCTCAGGTCTGTAAGCCCAGCACTTTGGGAGGCCAAAGAGGGCGGATCACTTGAGGTCAGGAGTTTGAGACTAGGCTGGCCAACATAGTGAAACTCCGTCTCTACTAAAAATACAAAAACTACTGAGCATGGTGGTGTGTGCCTATGATTCCAGCTACTTGGGAGGCTGAGGCTTGAACCCAGGAGGAAGAGGTTGCAGTGAACTGCCATCTTGCCACTGCACTCCAGCAGTGATAGGTGATGAAATGAGACTGTCTCAAAAAAATTTAAAAAAGGAAAAAAGAATGTGTTGTTTTCAGAGAAGCATTTACAAAACGCATCCCTACATCTTCTCCCTTATTTAATCATTTAAAGCAAAACACAAGTTACAAAAATAAAGATTTTAATTTTGTTTCATAAAGTACAAAATGTAGCAGTTCCAACACTGGAATTTGGAAGCTGTTTTTGTCTTTGATACCACAACATGAATTAAATTTCAAATTAAATGTACACAATCCCATAGAGCCCAGCATAATTAAGTCATTTAAAAGTCTGATAAAACATGCATTTTAATTTTAAACGTAATAGTCATTTTTCAAAGTGTAAAAAAGTCAAAATTTATCTTGATATGACTATTAATGATATAACTTTAAAATACAACTTTTAACAATGTACTGATCCATAATGAAGTATTTGTTACTTCAAGTTTCTTTTACATCATATATCACACAAAATGACAAAAATATTTTTTTAATTTCCTGAAGGGGTTCAAGAGAGTCTTCATTATTGTGAAAGACACTGAGGTAAAAACATAATCTATACGTATGATTCCACTTATATGTGGTGCCTAGAGTAGTCGAATTCATAGAGACAGAAACAGAATGGTGGAGCAGGGAGCGGTGGCTCACGCCTGTAATCCCAGCACTTTCCGAGGCAGAGGTGAGCAGATCGCTTGAGGTCAGGAGTTCAAGACCAACCTGGCCAACATGGTGAAACTGGGTCTCTACTACAAACCCTGTCTCTACTAAAAATACAAAAAAATTAGCCAGGTGTGGTGGCGGGCACCTGTAATCCCAGCTACTCAGGAGCCTGAGGCAGGAGAATCGCTTGAACCTGGGAGGTAGAGGTTGCAGTGAGCCAACATCATGTCACCGCACTCCAGCCTGGATGACAGAGCAAGACTCCACCTCAAAAAAACAAACAAAAAAAGAAACAGAATGGTGGTTGCCAGGATGCTGGGGAAAGGGGTAATGCGGAATTAGTACTTGATGGGTAGATAGTTTCAGTTTGGGAAGATGCAAAGATTCTGGAGATGGATAGCAGTGTGATCGCAGAACAGTATCAATGTACTTAATGACACAGAACTCTACACTTAAAAATGGTTAAGATGGTAAATGTTATGTTATGCCCATTTTATCACTATTTAAAAAAAATTATCCAGGCCAACCCCTCCTCATTTTATAAATGACGTCTAAGTTCACATAGCTACTCAATTACAAACACAATTAATCTCTAATTTTATTTCTACTAATAACACTGCCCCTAAATTCTTTCTGGCTATAATTAAAAGACACTGCTAGAGACAAAGTGGCTAAAAAGAGGTAAATGACAGATTATAAAAAAAGAAAATTGTACAGAAAAAATAACTTACAATTAAAATGGACAGTCAGATATGCTTTTTTTTTTTTTTTGAGATGGAGCCTCGCTCTGTTACCCACACTGGAGTGCAGTGGCATGATCCTGGCTCACTGCAGCCTCTACCTCCTGGGCTCAAGCGATTCTCCTGTCTCAGCCTCCCGAGAAGCTGGGACTACAGCCGTGTGCCACCATGCCCAGCCAGTTTTTGTATTTTTAGTAGATACAGGGTTTCACCATGTTGGTCAGGCTGGTCTCGAACTCCTGACCTCAGGTGGTCCACCTGTCTTGGCCTCCCAAAGTGCTGGGATTACAGGTGTGAGCCACCGCACCCAGCCAAGATATGCTCTTAATATATGCATTTTTACATTTGCCTTATTCCTGCATCCATTCTACGTCCCTTCTTGTTTTCCCGTTCTTTCCTTTTTCTAACTTCTTTTTAATCTATTTTATATGTCTTTGTAATCCCTAAGTACTGTTTAAAAGAAGACGGGCAATAAATAAAATGTATGGCTATACTTGTAACTGACTTACAAAAGTACACAGAAGACTGCATAATATTTTTCAACAAAACAATTAAAGTTAAAATGTGATCTTTTAGAAGGATAATTCCCCAGCGGCACAAAAGAGGCTTTGTTATAATTTAACGGTAAACTAAATCATGTAAGCATGCCTACTTCTTTTAAGCACAGAGTTTTTTGTACAAATACCTTTTTCAAAACAATTACCTTGGAAACCACTTGGCATGTTCTACCCATGGATCATCTCCAGATTCCCAACACCTCAAGCCGCCATCACAACAAAAGCATTTGACATCATCATTGCGACCTTCAAGAAAAAAAAAAAGACTAAATATTGAAAACACATTATGTTCTAATATGTAAATCAAAATAAAATGATAAAATGTAGTTATTTGCTTCTTACCCACATAATAAAAACCAGCACTTGCAAGCTGCTCAGGCTGAACTGGAACACTGGATGGCCAGTACATAAACGTTCTCATTCGAGCTGCATGTGTCTGCATGCTCAGATTTGAAATGCTAAACCTCAGCGTTTCTAGAGAATTTTCCAAAAATGGACAGTTGGGAAAATGCCTCCGGTGTTCTGACATAGCATCATCCTTTGGTTCCCAGTTACTGAGCTTCCCACCACAGGCAAAGCAGGCTACCCTATCTCCAGGTCCTATATAATAAAAACCAGCTCTTGCCAATTCTGATGGTGACAAAAAAGTTAATGGCCACATATGGTAGGTAAGAAATCGGGCTTCTTCAGTACTCATTGCATAACTGTAGGGGTTAGTCCTCGATGGAGAGAAGTCTTCAACTGCTCTAGAATTAAGAGGGTTTGGTGAAAGGCTAGAGTAAGAACCACTGAACAAGCTACTATGTTCCAAGGTGGGAGATAATGAATGTGCAAAACTGTTTCTCATTGGAGAAGTATTCTTAGAGGTGGATCCCAGAGTAGCTGAAACCAGATTCTGAATAAAGCTACAGCTAGGATATAGTTGTTTATGCTTTTCAATAGGACTGTCTCCTAGTTTCCAGTTATCCAGCATCAGGCCACAACAGAAGCATTTGACCTTGTCATTCACACCAGTATAATAAAAACCAGCACGAGCAAGACTCCTTTCTGAGACAGGAACCCCGGCGGGGAAAGTTGAATATGTAGACATTCTGTAGAGTTCACAGGAAAAGTCATACTTCATTTTTTGTTTGTTGCTGTTTGTCCAATCTGACAAGATCGTGCTATCTTCCATTATACTCTTAATGTTTTGATACGAGGGACCTGGGAAAAGTCTTTGGGAGGCAGTTTTGTGCATGAGTAGGTGACAGTACTGTTTGATAGCTAAAACAGTCACATGAAATTTCTTCACACAAAATAAGATTTTTACCACAAAAAGAAATCAATGATAGACTCTTACGTACAATTCACTACACTTTCTTTACTGGATTTATCTCAGTTTATATTCAGGTAGGATGAGTCTCTCTCTGAATTACCTAGATACTACTTAGAACACAAGTCTTTGGGGTTGTAGTAACTCTTTTAAGTAATCTAAGTGCTATTTGTTCATAATCTTGAGTAATACTAACCTAAAGCCCTGAAGAGGTGGATGCCCTTTTGAAAATGTTGAAACTCCTTGATTTTTCACAGAGATTTATATTCTCAAAATTCTAAGCAACTACAGAATACCTAAATTACGCCTTTTATTTATATTTGGTTACAAGCTATGAAGCCTGGGTAACAGATCAATTACTGATTATGCCACAAGGTAAAAAATTACATGCAGGCTTCTTTCTCTATAAGCACTTTAATATAATGTCCCCAAAAAATCTCATTTTATTCCAACAAACAAAAGTAATTAAAATCTTCATATGGTCACACTATTTAAAGGCTAAGTTCACACAGCTTATCACCATAGTATTTACATAAGCGGGCTATATTACTTCAGCTGACAACTTTTGGGGAAGTCAACACCCACAAGCTTTGTTGAACCTGTGCCTGTTATAGTGTTTGATGTCAAATGAATTTGGCTTAAAGTTCACAAACTATAAACTCTTCTATCTTTGTTAAATATCATTTGTATTTGTTTCTATTTCCTGCAGCATGTTGACTTTCTTCCTAACTTTGTATACCACTTTATTATTCTTGATCAACTGAAGGTATTTTCTCCATAAACTTAATTAGTTAGCCATAAAATTTCCACAGCACACTTTTCACACTGCATTTAAAAACTAAATAACCTGTTCATCATTTAAGGACTATTCAGCTATAATTATCAGTCATGCTGTAAACATTAATCAATTTATCACAAGACACAACTTGTCCTTTCTAGTGTTATCAGAAACGCCTAACAAAATACTGTATTACCAAAAAAGTACTGCTTAGCATAACGTATCAGTAATCAACTCTACTAGCCTTCTTTCTGAAAACTCTTCAATGTTTTAAAAATATAATTCATACACAAAATTACACTCCATAGAATTCAAACTATATCCCTTTATAAAGCTTCGAGATCTCCAAAATGGGATTTATTACTGCAAGGGGAAAATAGGGAGAGAAGGATTCTTCAGGGCTGTAAATCTGAAAAGAAAAAACAAAAGGTATTTTAGAAAACCGTATTTGCATGCCAAATAGAACTTACATACTCTTCAATTTATTCACTAAAGTCTAAGAATAATTTACATTTTAGATAACACATCTTAATTTCCAGCAATGTGTCACTACAACTTTCTAACTGAAAAAGCTCTTAATTAAAATAAATAAATGCAACATACTCCCATAGCACTAACTATACATGTCTTTAAAAAGCACAACTTTAGAGACAGATGGAAATTTTCACACAGGAAAACATTTTGTCCTTGCTCTCCTCCCCTTTTCTGACCTAAAGGTATCTTTGGCACTCTGCTGGAGGCAAAGAAACATTGGTTAAAAAGGCAGAGAGAGAGACAAGGTACTCCACTAAACCCTGTCAACAGCAGTACAGCAGTAATCAGACAGCAACGTTAGTTTGTAATATCAAGTCTCTCCGCGACTAGGAAAACTGCAGTAAAATGTACCACGAGTTCATTAATATAAACCCTTAAACTCTGCCAATCCCTTACAATTTCAAAGCAACGACGGTAGAAAACAACCGAAAACAAAACCTAACACAGCGGCCTGTGAAACAGTGGCCTGACGCCCACTGGCATGATTGCTTTAATTACACGCAATCTTATATCCTATCTTTAAACGAAAGACTTTCATCTGCGAGCACCGCACTGCAGCATTCTCTTTATGTAAACTGCAGCTGGACAGGGGATAGGATGGAAGGGAAAAGAATAGAAACTATGGGATTTACCCAATAATTTCCCAGAGTTGTTTCTCACAATACACAACAGACTACTGGAATGACAGAGCGCAGTGGCAACTATGAAATATGAAATATCACCGCCACCGAAATATCTTCGTTTCAATGTATTACATTAAAAGAACGCCGAGGGCTGTTTAAAACCTTGCAAAAACTGCGAGAAAACATCTTGGTCAAAGTCCAAGGGCCAGAAGAGTGGGCGGCGGCCAGAGGAGGTTTGAAAACAAGTCATATTTTAAAAACGGCTTTGACTGCAAGTCTTGAAGTTTCGGCTTCCGAATCCAATAAAACCTTGGCGAGAGTAGAAAGCAGAGAGCCGCCGGCGACCCTCCACCCTTGGCCGAACGGCCTCAGGCCCCTTCCTTCCTTGCCCGGCCGCCACATCAGGGAAGTGGGCCCCCGCGGGCCCGCGCGTCCCCACCCTCCCCGCGCCGCCCGAGTCCGGAAGAAGCAGCACTCACCGCAGTGCGGGCGCAGCAAACACGGAAGCTGCGCGGCAGCCTAGAGGCCTCCCCAGAGCCGGGAAGCGGCGGTACCGACAAGGAGATACGGCCGCCTCGGCTCGGATCAGCTCCGGCGCTCCCGAAGCCCGCCGCCCCATCCGGGCTCACGCCGACGCACGATGACGTCAGCGCGCCCGGCCGGAGACCTGCGTTGGCAGCCGCGCGAGGGCGCCCGGGAGGCTGGGGCCGGAAAGCGAAACCAAGCGCACTTGCGGCGGTGGGGAGACTAACCTCGGGGAAAGACTCTGGGAGGCCCAGGGACGCCCGGCGCAACTGGACGCCCATCGGGAGTCGCGGGGTCGGCCCTCAGGGGAACGGGGACTATCCGTATCAACTCGGTGTTTGTTCGTTTTCTTCACCTTGCGGTTTGTGCCCCCTCCACGTTTCCTCTCTCTCTGTGCCTACCATTCTGGGGGACGTGGCAAACCGTGAGCCGCTGCGTTTGACTCTTGGGAAACCCTGCGGAAACGCCCTGGCGCCGGTGGTTTTGCGCGTCTACCCTGTGTCACCTCAGGGTTATGGTCTGGCCCCTGGCAAGGCTCCCCTAGTGTGATGCCTCCCCCCGTCGAGATGACTGCGTTTTGAGGATGGAGTCAGTCTGATGGCATTTTTTGCTCAAGTAAACAGTTGTAACCGTTTGTGTAGCATCAGCGTTCAACAGCTGTCTGTGCAAATCGAAAAAAGCGAAGCGTTGGAAAGTAGGAAGCATCTGATGAATAATTCTGAAGACTCGATGAGTTTTACAATCAACTAGATTATCTTGTTTTTAAACTTTTGGTTTTCTGTTCTGGAGACAAACAGTGCATATGCACTAAAGACAAAAGTGTCATCATTTCAGATGCTCATTGCCAGCAACGGGAACGGTATTGCAAGTCAGGCTTCACTCCCAGTATTTTCTGAATGTTTCAATAAAATGAAATATATACGTCCGCCTGTGTATTGGTGTACATGCACATATAATTGTACATAAACCACAGAGAAGCCCAAGTTTTGTTTTTTTTTTTTTAATGCTTAGGTAATAGAAAATTTGTAAACAAAAACCCTTGGCTTTTACTAGTCATGGACCTTTTGTATCCCCCCACCATACTCCCCCAGTAGTGCCGTAGACACAGTGGCATGCAGTAAATGTTTGTGCTATGACAGCCAACGAATGACTTTTGAAGTTGACGCTCTTTGCCCATTGAATCCAATGCTTGCTTCTCTCTGGGGAACTCCAAGGGGCAAATATTTTGAAAACTTCCAAATAGCGAACCACTTAATTAGGCAGCCGGGGGAATTCCAAGACCCTGAACCATTTCCCATTTCCTGTCCGTGTCATTTCTGCCTGCCAGTCAGTCACAGAACAGGAGGTCTACTGTTCCAATGTTAATAGTCAAAGAAAGTGAGTGTAACAGTTTGTAATACAGAGAAAAGAAATGCCATGGCTCCCAATGACTAAAAACTTCCAAAAATGCACGTGGGGCTTGGTAGTAGTTTAGTATTTAGTTCAAGTCACTATTTCTCGGAAAGTTACAGAACATTCCTAACATGTGGGAAAATATATATAGCAAGAATTGTTCATTCTGAACTCAAGTATTTCTCTTTTTCAGTTCTTGTCCTGACCAAAACAGTAAGATAATGAATATACTTAAGTATAGGGGAAAGCTTGCATTTCAAAAATTCAAAAGCCTTAGATATTTTTAACAAAAAATATATGTAATATTTAGGTATAATAAATAGTACTTCATAACTTTTATTCTTGTATAACTTTGTAGTCTAGTGTTACAGTTAGTTAATTCAGTTACCTGTTTATTCAGTTAATTTTTTTTCGTTTTACTAGTATAAAGTTGCTGTTAATCTTAAAAAATAAGCTAGTATGTCTGCTACAGTTGCCATTCTAACGTTTTCCATATATATGTAGAAAAAATATTTACAGTATTTAAAACAATTTTGAAGAAGAAAAGTTAAGATTGGAAGGTCTTGTCCTACCAGGTAATGAGTTACAATAAAGCCGTGGTAATTGAGACAGTCGTGTATTATTAAATGCACTAGGATGGACAATTAAACGAAGGAGATACAGAGCCCCAAAAAGAGACCCATATCAATGTATTTGGGAATTTGATATACTGGCATTATGTATTAATAAGAAAAGGATTAATTAGTCAATAAGTAATGCTGAATGAATGGTTATTCTAATAGAAAATAAAATTAGATCACTACCATATACTATTTAAAAATCTCTACTTGATTTTTTTTAAAAACCCTTAAAAGTAAACAGCCATCATTATGAATCCAGGGATTTAAAGAAGTTTGGTGAGTTGTAATCCATCGCAGCTATTATCACTATTAGTGCTCAAGTTGTTTTATTTTAGGCCGGTGAGAGTTTACTCAGGTTGGCTCCTGAGTCTTTTTGATACTTTCCTAGTAGTCTTTGCTTTCTAGGCTCATTTTGTGTATTTCTTACTCCATACCCATAATAAGCCATTACTCCTAAGTGTCCTGGATCCTTTAGTGGGAAATGGTATTTAAAGAGCGTAATCTGAATGTTTGTCTCCTGTGAGTTAGCGCTGCAAGGAACAACAAACAAAAAATGTTTGTCGTGTTCATTGTTAATGAGTTTGATTGTTTCTATACCTGTTCAATGGACAAAGCTGGTTAGTATGGGTTTGTTTTGGTTTGGTTTTTGTTTTTTAAATCAAATATATCACAAACTCATTGATACTTCTGATTCAAATTCAGGAAGTCAAGGTTTTACTTAACCTCTTTGATTGCACATCTGTAACTCCCTTTGTTTTGAAAATCTTTGGACTCCCCTCTACTTTTTCCTTCCTGCCCCATAAGTAATGACTTAAACACTTTTTATGATTCATTTTTTCATTTTAAAAATGTAATTATGCATGCTTATACCTACCCTTTTCTTAGATAAATAATAGTAGCATACTTTTCTCCACCTTTTTTCACTTCATAATAAATTCTAGAGATTATGTAATACATATAGAGCTATTCCTCGTTTCTATATAGTACTCCGTTGTGTAGATGTGCCATAATATATTTAACAACATAATTCAGAAAGCAGCCAAAAACTGCTAGGGCCATGTCAAAGACTAAGGATCCAACCTGAATAAGCTCCCCAGTCATAGATGAAATTAGTACCATAATATATTCAGCTACTTCCCTATGGATGGACATCTGGGTGGTTTCCAGCCTTTTGCTATTACAAATAGTGCTGCAATGAATAGTCATGGGAACACATCTTATTTTAGGATATATTCCCAGAAGTTAGTTCAAATGGTAAATTCATACGTAAATTTGCCTAATATGGCCACATACCCATCCATGGGTATGCTGGCATTTTGCAATCCAACCAGCAATGTATGTGAGTGCCTGTATTTCCCACAACTTTATCAGTAGAGTAAGTTGTCAGACTTTTGGATTGTTGCCAATCTGTTGAATAATAAATAGTATTTCAGTTCAGTTTCAATTTTTTATTGCTATATTATGAATAGGGTTGAAAAATTTTTCCTATGCATCAATTGTATGTGTAATGTTTTATTTATTTTTTTAAGTTAGGTGAGTATAAAAGAATGTTAGGATTGGTTGTGTGTTATTGTTAAAGAAAAATATATTCTGACATTTGTTAAAATGGTAAGGAAGACTTTATTTAGGACTATGCAATCAAAATATTGTAATAGGGAAGCAAGATTGGGCTCAATTGGGAATACAGCAAGGACTGCTGGGGTATTTATAACCAACAGTTAGAGTAAGGAGGGTCAGTGGATGGAAAAGTACTAAGAGGAGACATCAAGGATAGTAGGATTCTTGCTGAAGGCAGGCTAAGGGCTTACACTTCAGAAGTGGAGAAGGAGGAACTTGATCAGATATCAGGGTTGATCAGATATCCAGAGTGGCGGGATCCTCACTAAACTGACAGGATTCTTGTTAAGACTGAGGTAGGCCAACAATTACAGGTGGGGTAGGGCCCAAAGTCAAGGCCTAGTCAAGAAGAGGGCTCAGAAGAGGCTGAGTAAAGTTTGGTCAAAGAGATAGTCTTTGTCAGTATGTACATAGATGACATGCATATCTTCCTGAATTTTTGAATTTTTAAAAAAATTCAAATAGGACCTTAAAAACTTACAGATTTGGGTCATATCAGAACTTCCCTTTCCAACTTTTAGTTACTTACAGGCATCCCAAGCATTACCTTTTCATCTGCTAAAAAAAAAAAAAAAAAAGTCACTTTATATTTCTGTGGTGAAACTTTGGATTTTAATTTTCATAAAACCCTTCATTAGGGTTTTGGAACTAGAAAGCATCCAATAGCCCACTTGATTTAATCAGTTTATTTTGTATATGAGCACTTAGCCCAGGTAACTGCCACAAAGATTTTTATAGATAATATTGGAACTCTTAAAATCCATGACAGCTTTAAAATGTTGGCATCTGTATCGAAAGTCAGATTTTAAAAATTTACAGAAATATTATTTAAAGGCTTAATTAGTAAACCTTAATAATTTAATGTGAATTAGAATTTCAGCAACTCTAGTTTCAAAAATCAATGAATTAAAAGGAAAATAAAGGTGTTAAAGATTGGCCCGCGTATATTGGGCACATATTGTTTGCTTCTTCACATCAGGCTGGGACCATTAGCTCAAAAGCTTACCTTCTCTAAGCTCAAAATGTTATCCATGTAATCCCTTAAATACAGCTCAGATGGGCCAGGCACGGTGGCTTACGCCTGTAATCACAGCACTTTGGGAGGCCGAGGCAGGCAGATTGCCTGAGATCAGGAGTTTGAGACCAGCCTGGCCAACATGGTGAAACTCCATCTCTACTGAAAATTACAAAAATTAGCTGGGCATGGTAGTGCACGCCTGTAGTCCCAGCTACTTGGGAGGCTGAGGCAGGAGAATCTCTTCAACCCAGGAGATGGAGGTTGCAATGAGATGAGATTGTGCCATTGCACTCCAGCCTGGGATACAGAGCAAGACTCCATCTCAAAAATAATAATAATAATAATAATAAATGTTTAGGGGAAAATAGTCACACACACACACACACACACACACACACACACACACAGCTCAGATGGCCATGTTTTTAGCCATTTAGAGTC